TATATATATATATATACTTATGAATAATTTTTCACATTAATTTTATTAAAAATTTAATCATAAACTTAAAAATATTATTATGTTTTTCTCCAACCTCTAAATATCTTTTAATATAACATATATTTACTAACATAAAAAATACATACAAAGAAACATCAACCCGTAGGCTCAAATTTAAAACTAATTTGTGATTAAACAGATTAACTTGTTGATTTAAATCCACTTTTCAATAATTCAAATAGTGAAGTTCTTTTCTATCATTCAAATACTAAAATTCTTATGAAAATATTTTCGTTGTGTTGATGTACCTTTAACTATAAGAATTTTGTGTGTCTTTCCACATGCATCCAATGAAAATATATCATTTGTAACTACTTTAGTTGATTGTGAAATCACATCTGAAGGGAACACTTCTAATTTTTATTTTTATTTTTGGTAAAGTTGATTGAACTACATCTTAACCCACAACACACATTAACCAAGTCTAACCAAACTTAGATCAGAGATAATGAATATCTCGTCACTTTTATTCCCTATTGTGGGTTTCTGATGCCGAAAATTTGTGACGAGCTCGAGTGTCTCCAGATGCTAGGTGTTAATGACAGGCGTTGGGACGGCGGTTAATTTGAATTGATGTTCATGGTAGAGTAGTGATGGATAAGAAGTCATTGATACTGACGGAGGAGATAGTGGCAACAGTGGATGAAAGTGTTGCCTAAAGTGGTGATAAATATGGTTAGTTGTCAACTATGTCACCTCATTTAAAATTATTATATATTAAATATTTTTATTGGATTTACCGAAAAAGATACTAATTTTTTTTTTCAAGGGAAAACTAAGCAATGTCCAAAGTATTATCATAAATTCGAATTGAAAATTTTACACTGAATCAAAAGAAAAAAAAAAGTGGTATATAAGAAAAACAATTCACACGTAGATTAAATTTTAAGATTTTATATACAAAAAATTCATTTGGCAGAGATGTTGATTCTAAGAATTTGGAGTTTGGAGCCTCTCGACAGCTTGACTTTTGCTAGGTCTTTTGTTTTTTAACTATTCCTTTGCACATTTTAGAGCTAATTAAGGTTTCCCATTGTTATCATAACTAACCATTTGTTCCACCAAACATGCTATTCTATTATAAACTATATCTGTAATTCAAACTAAAATTTGGCTTTAAAAATATAAATGAAGATAATCTTCACTTCTAAAACTAAGTTGTTGGGTTGAATTAAACTCCAAGAAAGAAAAAATAATAAATTTAATTTTTTATTTCTCTTTTTGTGAAATTAGAACAATTGTTAAGTTCCCATATTACTTTTATCAAGTGGAGTTTAAATCGATATTTTTTTTTCATGTGGAAAATTAACATTTTTTTTTTACAAATTGAATATCATTTTTTTACAGTCATCAACCTCTATTTGTTCTTTAGAAAAAATACATCTTACTTTTTGTCATTCTTATAAAATAATTATTTCGATGAGACTTGTTCAAAGCAGTAAACTTTGCATGGCTTAGTTTAGAGTGTGAAAGGCTCCACCACCTTTTACATCAGTATGCTTTCAAGACGATTCAATTATGGTGGCTGATACGTCTGTGTCAACAATTATGGCAGACACATATCAGAATTTACAACTCCTTGCAATTTTTTATTTATTTTTACTTTATTCTTATTCACTTATTTATTGGTATTATATTCAAATCATAGTGTAACTTCAGATCAAGATGGATTTATAAACACTTAATAATCAAACTACAGTATTCAACCAGAGAAATAAACACTCTTTCTCTAAACTGGAGAAAATATCAAGAGGCTAGGAATAGACAAATAACAACTAGGAAAATGACATGTGCAAGAAGAGATTAATCGAGATTAATCAAGAACCGTGTTCATGATTTTGGAGTCTTTCAACGACTTGACTCATGCTAGGTCTCACATCTTTCTCTTCCTCTACACATTCCAAAGCCACCGTTGCCAAAATCTCTAACTGCTTCATGTTGTAATCTGATCCTAAAGTGGGGTCAACAATTTGTTCCACCCAAGATGTTCCTTCTGGTGTTTTCCTTCTTTTCTCCCTCACCCATGTTGCCAACCTCTCATTATGCGACTCTTGCCCTGGTTCTGTCACTTGGACTCCAATCATTGGACTCCTCCCAGTTATCATCTCCAACACAACAATTCCATAGCTATAAACATCAACCTTGGAAGTGATTTGCAAGTTGAAAACCCATTCTGGTGCCATGTAACCCCTTGTGCCTCTTATTCTAGAGAAGCTTGAGTTGTTGAGGTTGTTTCTATTCAATGGCTTGGACAAGCCAAAATCAGCCACCTTGGGTTGGTAATCAGAGTCAAGAAGTATGTTTTGAGGCTTGATATCACAGTGCAAGATCCACTCCAAGCACTCTTCATGTAAATAGGCCAAACCCTTTGCCATTCCCATTGCAATGTTGTACCTCTTCCTCCAATCAAGTGAATTTGATGGAAGATTATTAGCCAAAGAGCCGTTTTCCATGTACTCATAAACCAGGATCCTGTGTTTTCCTTCCACACAATAACCCCACATGCCGATCAAGTTCATGTGATTGAGCCTTCCAATGATGCTCATTTCAGTGAGGAACTCACTCTCTCCTTGGTCCGCAAATTCGTGCAGCTTTTTTATTGCTGCAACTCGGTTATCCGATAACACAGCCTTGTACACTGTCCCTCCTGCACCCCTTCCGATCTCTTCACTGAAACCCTTTGTGGCTTGTTTCAGTTCAGAGTATGTGTACCTTCTGAACCCTGTAGCTGCAGCAAGAACATACCCTTGTTGGTCTGCCCTGACCAAATGGTCGCTACTCCTAAACAAGAAACACCACACCATAAAGATGCACACCGCCTCAAACCCTCCTAAGCCAACTGCAAACCAAAGCATGAACTTCACAGACCCATTTTCCTTGCCTTTCACATATGGTCTTTCTAGTAGCATTTCTGCATTTCTCGGACAAACCAAGCCATCATTGTTTTGCAGGTGGTTCTCTTGAGCACTTTCTTTTGGCAGACGCACGAAAAATTGCCCTGGGAAACCGGGTGAATGGTGTCCATTTAGCAACTGCGTCTTTGGGTAACACCAAAAGTTCCCATTCTCTACAGCAAAGCTGTACTGAAAGCCCAAGCACTCGCACACCTCCAAGCACAGTTTCTCACATTGTTTATATGTGTAATTTTGAAAGGAAGTTCCATAGTCATATCCATAAAAGTCCACTTCATAGAGAGGCACTACGCGATATTCTGTCTTGTTATCACAGGTAGTTTTGAATTTTGGTGTGCAACCCAAAGACCAATCTTGGCTATCAACCCAGCTATATCCTTCAAGACACTCACACTTTCTACCAATTGCTTTATCATGACTGCATATACTGTTAGGTCCACAGATCCCATGAATGAAACAAGGTTGTGATTTAAATTGCCCTGCTATTGACCAATCTTCTTGACCGTTTTCTCTGCTATAGATACGAACATTGCCATCATAGTCAAGGGTCAACCTTCGTTGAAGGAGTAACCCATAATCAATTGTCGTTAAACTATATTTATCAGAAACACTGAATAGACCCAAATCATCTAGAACTGCAACTCTGCTACTATTGTACGAGGTTCTTCCGTTACCAAACCCAACGTTGTTGCTAACCAGCCAAGGATCCGGCCAATAAACGCTTGAAACTTGACGACCCTCGTACAAAAGACGGAAAACGTTGTCGTTGTCGAAGAAGAGCTTGTAAAACCCAGAGGAATAGTTGCCCTCACTTCTCGCAGAGACTAGCTTCGTGAACCTGCCATCAAGTTATATCATCAGTGTGAATCAAATCGATTTTGAATTACATAAAAGCATTTTAGCGTGTAATCCAAAAGTTCAACGTGTAATTTCAGTAAAATGAAAGAGAAAGTGTGAAAAAAATTGGTGATATATACCTGGTGAGAAGCTGGCCAGGGAGGAGTGTATCAGTCGGAAAATTAAAGCTTTCCCACAAAACAGAGCTTCTATTGGTCTGTTCCCGGAGCACGAGGTTCCCGGTGTCGTGCAAATGCAACTCCAACGGCTGCTCCGACAGAGTCTTGGTGTCCCAAACGTCGAACTGTCCGGCGTCAGACAACACGAGGTTGCCGTTCTTGAGCAGGGAGAGCGAGGAGCGTTTCCCGTTCACCGGAACGTCGCGGTTGGCCATCCAAACCACGTGCTTCTCCGCCTGCGAGAACCACACGCCGAAGCAGTACGCGTTCTCCCCCACGTTCCTGAACCCCGCCGTGAACGTCCCCTTCGGCGACGAAACTATCACGTCTTCGTCGGGTCTCTCCACGGAGAGGGGGAGCGCCGCCGAAGAGTGGAGGTACAAGAGGAGGAGGAGGATGGACATGAAGATTAGTGAAGAAGAAGAAGATGAAGAAGAAGCCATGAAAACGTTGTTGAAGATTTTGGAAAGTGAGTCGATGAATTTGTAGTAGCCATGTTATATTATACAGTGAAAATAGCAACTGGGTGTGGGAAAAGAAAAAGAAAGTTCGTACCTTGCATGTAGACAAGACACATGTGGGTGATTACGACCTTCGTTGGTTCTTTCGTTCTTCTTTTTTCTCGCTTCACATTCATATTTCTTGTTTACACAAATCTAAAAAAATGATATTTTATTGTTTGATCGGTAAAACAGATAACTTTGGAATGAAAAAAGGAAATGGATGCCGTGTACGACAGCGTGTGAGATTTGAAGAATGCAGACTTTCCGATTATAGGAAAAGATAAAGAATGTAAAGTAAAGCAGTACTGCATAGACTGTAGTATTTTATTCGATCCACCACGCCATTTGAAATAAGAAAGTTTGTATAATCACGAAGTCAAACGTTACGTACTCTTTTGCATCTGGAAATGCACCTCATGGATCAACTCACTCTTTCATGCTTCAATTTCAAAAAGATAAATAAAGACAACCAAGGAAGTCTTTGTTTAAACATACCCTTGTGACCCGTAAAATCATATGGGATAATTGACTTAAAATTTCTAAGAATAAATCTTATGAAATCTTGACCACCTTTAAATTGAAGTCATGTGAAAATAATTTCTTTACAAAATTTGAAAAAGTTGAGGTCTTTATGACTTATATGATTTACTTTTAAACATCAACAAAAATTGTTAGTAACAGTGAAAAATTAAATCAAATCAAATCAAAGTTGTCCTAACTCATTACGATTTTTATTGTAAAACTGAATATATCAAGTTTTTTTTATTGTTGAACTCGAAGAGTTCTCCATTGAGCTCTCATCAAGCTCTGCGTCGAACTCTTTACTAAGCTCTCTACATGCTCATCCAAGCTATGCAAGTTGTCTAGGTTCCTTCCTAGGCTATCCACTTGTTTGGTCAACCTATTACTTTATTCAACTGTTTTGCCATGTTCATCGCACTACTCAGCAATATTATCATATCTTACCAACATCTCCAAACTGCTCAATCGTTTAGCTGACCTCTTCTTGCTACTGGCAAATTTGTTGAGTTCTCTTTGCTACTTGGCAAACTTGTCGAGTTCTCTTTGCTACTCGACAATCTTGTCTAGCTCTTCACTCGCTCGTTCCTCACTCAACTATATACATTATAGCTTTCGTTCAACATATTTACAAAAAAATTATCATGAGTCATGATGACTTCACATTTTCAAAATTTTATGAAGAAATCGTTAGAACTCATAAATACTTACCTTTAATGTGTAAATTTTTAAGTTAACTACTCCATTGTTTTAATTTATGAGGTAAATTACTCTATTTTTAAAAGTTTTCCTATTCTTAAGAATCTTGTGTTCAATAAAGTATTATACTAAGAATTTTATTCATTTTACTCATGTTCAATGAAGTTATGCTCTTTCTTGTTTAACTTAGACATTTTGGGATTGTCTTTTTAGTTTTTGAAGTTTCATAAAAAAAATCAAGAGAAAGGAAATAGTTCATTATTGCTTTTTTTTAGTTTTCTGTTGACTCTATAATTAAATTAACAACTTTTTGCTGATTGTCTATGACTTTTTTTAGTGAATATACTAACACTCTCCTTGACCTAAAAGACCATTAGACTAGCTTAAGGTTTAAGTAGGTAAAGTCTTTGCTTTAAAATGGTCTCCAAATTTTTTTTTAGTATTAATATACCTTTATTAAATTAATTGTAAAATTATGTTTGAGAATAAAAATTAAATTAAATTATTTCATGTTATAATTTGTATATGTATTAAAGAGAATGATTAGTTATCTTTATTCTCTTACTAATCAATTTTGATTTTTATCTTCATATTTTATGTGACATATTTTATCTCTATGTGACTTATCATACAGAGATTCTACTCCTTTGCTTATTGCTTTCTTCTTGAAAATTATTTCATTAGTTTAATTTGACACATTAGTCGATACTTATTAGTTTATTATCATCTCTTTTATGTAGTTGTCTCATGATCTCCTATGGTACATTTTAACAAATTATTTTATTACTAAATATAAAAATCTCATTTTTAAGTTTGCTTTACACATTCTAAACCCTTCAACTACCCCTTCATTAAGCACCACCTCCTAGTGATTGCATTGAGAGTCATTTGACTCAAGTTTAGAGAGCTATTTTCTTGCATCTAGGTGTATGCGCCCATTCATAATGAAGTATCTAGCACTAAGTGTTACTTTTGTTTGACACTTTTTGTTTATGTGACACTTTTTGCTTATTTTCCTTGCTTCTTCTTTAAAAAATATGTCTTTAGGTGATTGAGAAGAGGGTCAAGGTTTTGGGTTCTTAGGGTTATCTTGAAGACCACAATTTTCATAATTAGATCTTCGTCTACTTCCATTGTGCATATTTTTCATTTTGTCTCTCTTTTTTTTCATTGGAGTTAGATATTTAATTAATTAAAATCACGTGTAATTTGTATTATCTATATTTATATATCTTTCCATTCAATGTTAATACTTTTTTTTCTATGATTAATGTTTGTTGGTTTGATCAACCATTGATATTTGATTTATTGAGTATTGAAAAATATTTTTTATGATTTAGAACCAAAACAAAAATATCTATGAAGCTTTTATCTATAATTGAGTTTGACTAATTATTGTAATTCTTGTGAAAGAAAGTTTTCATAATTGACTTTAAAAAAATAGACTTTTTCTACTAAGGAACTGGGATGGGAGTAATTAAATTGAAAAAACAAAGTGAGTAATAATTTCCATAATAGTAAAGTTTGATAAAGTTTATATACCATATCCTTTTTAATTTATCTTGAATTTCAATCTTTTGATCCCAAAAAAGAGTGTTATTTGTTTTTTTTTTGTTTGCATAATTTTAGTTATTGAATCATTAACACAATTTATGAAAATAATCTTGTGTTTAAATTAGTTATCTTTTTATTTCTTTTTACACTCTTCTACTTTCCATCACTTCTAAAACAAAAATTACATAATTAAAAATTAAATTATTTTATTATTAAACATTACTTATTGATATACTTTTATTACGAATATCTAATATATTTTTTACATGGCTTTCAATTAATAAAAATATATAATTAATTCTTAATAAAAATAAATGCAAAATAAATAAAATTTATTAGTGGGACCAATTTCTCAATATAAGATTAGCATAAAAGAAAATTCAACCCTAAAGACTAGTGGAGAATATTTAAGTTCAAGTCAACGTGACTTTTAAGTTTTTAAGAAAAAGGAAATGAAAAAATACTTCTGTTTTTAAATTAAAAAGTCATGGCTTTCATAAATACATATTAATATTTCATTTCATTTTCTTTATTTTAAAATGTAAGAAATAAGTGAAGATTTATTAAAAAGAATATCAACATTGAGCTCAAGAAGAGCCATATGTTTTAGCACACAGGCAATGAATGCTACAAGCTTGATTATGGACTATAGATAACAATAGGGCTCCTAACAATGTAACGTGTGCTTCTCCAAATAAGGGAACCTGATACTATTTTCATGCTTGCCATAGATTTTGCTTTCACCACTACCTTGAAACTCTTCTTCTGCTGAGTATGAGAGAAAATGAGGCTTGCAGGTTTCACTGTGATCTCCACTCCTTTGGGAGATTTGATGGTGGCATTGAAGATGGTTGGAGCAGGACCAACATTGGTCACTCTTCTCCTGAAAACTCCTACTGTTGTGCCTGAGTTGTTTTCCACACTAAGTTGCATGGTGGGGTAGTTGAGAGCATCATGGCCAAGTCCAGGAAGCAAAGAGGTGCAGTTCACAGGAGAGCCAACTAACACTGATAGAGTGGAACCATTATAGCCCTCATGGCATAAAAACTGAACATATGCAAAGTCATCCATGTCATAGACTAAACCAGGGCTCACAGCTCTTGTAGGGCTCACTTGACCAGCACCATAGGCAAATTCTGCCTCCTTGTTAATTCTCTGGCTCATAGGTTTAGCTGAACAAAGAAGTAGATAGACAAGTCAAAAGTCAAGCCTTCTTAAAACATAGTGTTTAGTACCTGCTAGTGTCGGTGTCATCAAGCTTAACCAATCAGAAACTGTAGTTGGTAGGTACAACTTTTATGAAAGTCTTTTACAATTATTACTCTATAAGACATGAGACACAAAAGGCTTCAGATTTTGCATATGATGAAACAAAACAACCAGCAAAAGTGGAAATAGGCTTTGACTCTCACCTGTAGTAATAATGGCTGATCTTATTGCAGCAGGAGACCAATTGGGGTGAAATGATTTCACATATGCTGCTACACCAGAAACATGAGGGCATGCCATAGAAGTTCCAGACATAAGTGTAAATTCAGAAAACTGGGTATCTCCTTTCTCTCCAGTAATTGACTTCATAGGTGTATAAGATGCCAAGATGTTAAGGCCAGGAGCTGTAACATCTGGCTGCATCAAAAAGATTGGAAAAAATGTTATTTGACACCATTTGATTACCACCTTACAACTTTTCTAGGAGTGAAATGGTCTTAATAATAGTTAACTTTTGTATTTCTAAAGAAAAAAGAGAGTAATGAGGAATAGTGTTAAATGGGTGTAAAAAAATTTCTGGTGTCAAAGTACCTTATCTGATTAGATTATAAAACTTACTCAGTTCCTCAAATAGTAGCTAAACGGTCAATATACTAATAGATAGCATTATGATTGCTTTGCAGCCTCTGGTACCTTGAGAATATGTTTAGATGCTGGATTTGGACCCCTAGATGAAAATGAAGCAGTAAATGGAGCTGGAATCTTTACTTCGTGGGTCTTATGTATTAATGCTGATGGCGATCTTAGTTTAACAAGAAATTAAAATAAGTTATCTAGAGATGATTAAGTAGAACAGTGTTGTATTGTAACAATGATTCATTTATGATAAGCTTGTAAAGGAAAAGTAAACAAGTAACCAAATATGGAGAGAGCAATGAAGAGAATCTTATCATACCTTGTGGAGTGTGTATAATTGATAATAATTTGACCTATGCTACTATTCACTATGGTAGCTGGAGCCATGAATATTTGGGCAATTTCAAAAACTTGGTCAGTTTCCATTATAGTACCAATGCCACCAATTCCTTTCACAACAGATTCACTGCCCCAGCCACTTAAACTACAGTATACAAGTTTTCCTTTCACCTTATTTGGATCCAAGGAGTCTTCAAAGCAGAACCTGTCAATGCATTGAATTGTTCTTTGCTAATATGGAAAGCTTAACAATGTGCTGTCAAAAGAAACAAAAAAGAATACCTAGCATTTTCCTTGCTTCCAGAGTTTCTGGCTGCATCAGTCCCATTGACAAGGGGGTACTGTTTTTGTTTTGGATTGAAGGTGGTCAGCCCTCCCCCCTGCATTTTCACACAGTTGGATGTGTAGGAATATAGAGTGAATTTTAGTAACCATAAGGTAAACATATATAGTCCTTTTAACCAAATAAAGTTAATTTTTTTTTACATGTTAAACAGTATTTCAAGTTGACATTTGGGCTGTATTTGGTCTGTGTAATGACAAACTACATTATTTGATCATGGATATTGATGTGTAAAATTTTGTACACCATGTTTCACTTCTGTTTTTCATGGATTTTCTGTTAGGCTGTGACCTCATTCCATGATCATTATTTGTTAATTTCTCTTAAGATGTTTTTATTGCATTAAGTTGTGTTTTTCTGGTTTTGAAAAGATTGCTGGTGGACTGAAATAGAGGAAGAGAAACTGGATCGGTGAAATATCATGATACAAGTTCAATGTAGTAACTTGTAAAGACTTGCAACTTACAACAATGTAGACTCACCTTAAATACTGAGTTACATGCATCATGACTCAACTTGAAGTCTATCAGAATCACAGAAATTTCTCAGTTCTCATACAGAAACAATAACTGAAAATCTCCTCTACATTCTCATAATTGATTTCAATGCAAAAATTTCCTCTGTATAGATAATTATAGGTGTATGTGAAATTAAAAATTGGTTAATTATGAACACAACTGTTTTCATTTTAAAATATGGTAAAGTTGCTGTGGTTATGTGGAAGAACATATGTGAATGCCAAAGTAAGAAGAACTTACAGAAAAATTCTTTCCATTTCCCAACTGAATAGTGCTCCTGAAATCCCTATCAATGGCACTAGCAGCCACTGTTACAATCCATGGTGCAGTATTTGTGACAGTTGCCATGAATGGTCCATCATTTCCAGCTGAGGCCACAGTGATTATGCCTTTCCTCATGGCATGAAATGATCCAATTCCTATAGAGTCCTGCACATAATTTGGATTCCCTCCACCAATGGAAATGGATATGACATCAACACCATCATGTATAGCAGCTTCAAATGCTGCTAGTATGTCCATGTCTGCACAATCATCACTCGCCCAGCAGACTTTGTAAACTGCCAATCTGGCTGATGGCACAGCACCACGAGCCTTTCCTTTGGCTATGCCAAAGAGACTTGCATCTGGGACAACAGTTCCTGCTGCTGTTGATGCAGTATGAGTTCCATGACCAACCACATCTATGGGGGATAATATGTCAGATGGATCAGGCCTTCCACCAATCTTGAAATATCTGGCTCCTATCAGCTTGCTTCAAGTCATGGACAGAATACTAATATTTAATTCAACTATTAAATTATTCATTTTAGTAGTTATTTTTTAATCTTTTTCTCTGTCCACTTATATCAATAGTTTCAAGTAAACTACTTTCAGATAAGTACACGTAAAATTTAACTAAAACATGATCACAGATTCAAAAAACAGTGACAAAAATGTACAGAAGAATAGGGATGTTACTTATTGCAGCCTGAAAAATTTGCATATTTATCACAAGTTCCTTTCCACTTTGCAGGTGGAGGACCAAATCCATCGTCCTTGAAGCTTTGAAGCTGAGGAGTGACCCCTACCTCGTCAATATGGAGAGACACAATGTCAGTTAAACCATGTAAGTTTCACTATGTGTGTGTGTGTGTGTGTGATATCAAGAACAAGGATGAAATATTGAAAATGGAATGTAAAGTATGATGAACCTGTATCCAAAAGAGCCACAATTATGTCACTTTCTGATTTCAGTTTTCTCTTAGCAGTCAAAGGTAATCCTATGAAGTCCCATGATCTTGTTGTGTGTAGCTTGCGGTACTGATTTGGAATAACAGAAACTACTTCATCCATGGCTAAATATAGCAAGCAAGAAAGTAAAAAAAGTGAGTAAAACTAAAAGTACTCACTAATTGACAAATAACATGAATAAACTAGAGAAAAATGACCACATGCCAGACAAATTCTTAGCTTCATCCTCGGACAATTTAGCAGCAAATGCATTAAAGCTCTTTGTGTAGCTGTATACCATGGATTCTTTGGCTTCAAGGATGCTGCTAAGTAAACACAGTTCAAAACAAGAGCTACACAGTCACTTTTTTTGTGTCTTACGCTTGAAGAGTAAAGAATAAGAAAATGTTTATGATTTTATTAGGCCACCTTCCTTTAACAGCAGAGAGAATATTTAAATGGGCGTCTAGAGCTATGTCTCTACTCCCAGCATGATCTCCCAGGAAAACAATGTAAAAGTTCTGCATACATCTCAAATGTTGTGATCAGGCTCATATACAGTAGGAAACAGAATGACATGTTAGAACCTAAGCATAAATAGTGAATATGTGGTTGGTCTTTCCTTAAAAAAAAGGTTTAATTGCTTCCTTTGTCTCCAGTTTGGTTGAATTGTGTCAAATTCATCCTCATTTTTAAAAAAGTTTCATTGTCGTCCTCACGTGGTGTAAAAGTTTCATTGTCGTCCTCACGTGGTGTAAAAGTGTCAATTGAATCCAAACATAGAAAAAATTTGTGTCAAAGTAGTCATTTTTCCTATATCTCTGTGTCTTCCTTTCATACAATCAAGTACAGATATTCATTTTACCTTATCCAATTTAAGGCTTTTCATAGCTCCAGAGAAGTGACATATGAAAGGAAGACACAGATATATAGGAAAAATGACTACTTTGACACAAATTTTTTCTATGTTTGGATTCAATTGACACTTTTATACCACGTGAGGACGACAATGAAACTTTTTTAAAAATGAGGATGAATTTGACACAATTCAACCAAACTGGGGACAAAGGAAGCAATTAAACCTAAAAAAAATAAAGAATTAAGTATGTTTTTAGTCACTAAATTTGATACAAAATTGGATTTCGTTCATATCCCAAAATTTGATATATTTTGGTTTCCAAAACTTTGAAAATAAATTAATATAGGGATTTTTAATCCAACAATATCAATTCTTTTAGGTGTTAAACAGTATTCTAAATTGGCATCTGAACAGTAACATGTCAGATGATTTAAACAGTTCAATTATCAGCCTGAAATACAGTTTAAAAGAGGTTGACGTTGTTGTGTTAAAAGACTGTATAAATTTGAAAAAATGTATCAAAATTTAGAATAGAGATGAATTGCAATTTGGTATCAATTAACTAAAAACATATTTAACCAAAAGTTAAAACAGTATATATGTATTCAGATATAAAGAATAATTGAGGAGAATAAATTGATTGCCTTTTGTTTGTCACCATCAGCTGAAGCATTTCTCAGCAGAAGCAGAAACAATGGAAACCAAAGAAAAAGAGTTGGGAAGTTTCTGCATGAACATAGTGACATCTTAGGCTTATAACTCATTAACATACGGATAAACAGTGTACAGCTTCCAAGAAGAACCTTATATACTGTAGAAAAGAAAGAATACAGAAGCAGGTTTCAACCAGTTTTGCTTCTTTCAATTATTAATCAAGGTTTTTGGTGGGGGAAACTTGCAAGTCAGATTACAGAATTTCTGATTCCACCTTTGACTACAGTCAACATCACGTTGCTTCTTCAGGATAAACTTCCACTAACATTCTCATTTTCATCATCTTTGTTGGTCTTATCATATAGCAGTGTTAATGAAGATTAATAATGCTGAAATCTCCTAGTTTTTTTGTCTTGGGTTCAAAATCAACAGATGATGAGAAATTGAAGAGTTTGAGAAGTTTGATATTGGAAGCTCCAAGACACATGTCACTGTTAAGTGCAGAAGAGACATTGCTTAAAGAAAATAGTCATTTGCATTAAGAACCCTTTATTCCTTGAATTCCAATGCAAGAGAGTTAACCATTTGGAAAATATTATTTGTTTTTAATTAGCATAGCTTGAAGTTTAACCTAAATGAATCACAAGTTGATGATATTAAACAATTGGCAGTGTCCCTCTTAGCTTTTTCTTGTTACCTTGTAGAACAACAATGTTTAAGAATTTACTTTGATTTCCTTGTATGGATTAATTCATGATCTTGTTTATTGGTACATTTTTATTATTTTTTATTAGAAAATAAGTTTAAATCTAATTTATTCTTACAAAATTAATTTATAAGATTTTAATTTAGTAATAGGTGATACAATAGTTTTAATAAATCATACTAAAAAAATTTTAATCTAATATTAGATGAAGTTTATTATCTTAAAACAATATTAATTAGAAAATGAAGTTATATGATAAAAATTATTTTATTTATATATTATTTAAAATATATAATTCTTAATTTGTAATTACCATAATTTTATTCCATTGCTTTTACATAAAAGTTTTCACATAGAGAAACAAATCTATTCACGTTTTTAGAAAGAACTTTTTTACATTTGAAAAAGAAACTATTATTATATCAATTTATTAATATGTATTTAGTAATGTAATAAAATAGTGTTAAAAACCCTTTGAGACAGAAAATTAGTCCTTATCACTCCTTGTTCCCTCCTTAAGATTTAAGATAAAGGTCTCACATTCTTTTCAACATCCTTTAAAGCTTTATAGAAATTCTCAAACTATTAATTCCTATAAATGATTTTTTTTATAATGAAATTTATTCTATTTTCTAAAATTTCAACCATTTATATTTCTCAAAAAGTTATGTGACATTTTTTTACATAAAAGTTTTTCTTCAGATTTTTTGTTGACTTATAACTTCCAAATTAATCTCTTTTAAACAAGAGTGGTTTCTTAGTTGTGAGAAAGGACTATGATAGAATGATGAACATTTCATATATCTTTGTCTATTTTGTTTATTTGAATATTAAAGAAATTACAATTAATTAGATCACGGTGCATGTTATTTGAAGTTAATATTAGAATTAACTATAAAATGGACCGATAAGATGCATAAAATAAATGTTTATGAGAATATCAAAGTTAAAAGATAATGTAAAATTAAATAATAATAATAAAAAATAAATAAAAATATCAAATAACATCAATTTAAATATATAATAAATTAGTTATGTTTACAATTTGAATAGAAGTTGTTATCTACATTTCTATTCCAAAATAGATTCAACCTAAAAAAAATATTTAATTAGAAATTAAAATTTACAATATTCCAAATAGGATTGAAGAACTAAAACATCCAACTAAGTTAATAGAATATGCTTACAACTTGTCATATTAATCATGCATGATAGTTGTACTATCTAGAATCATCTCGATGTTAGATCGACCACCCTAGACACTAGAGAGCATTCTCATGAAAAGATATGAGAATGAAAAGTATATTATCATATTATTTAATCGAACTGTAGAGAGTGATGTCCTAATGTCGATGTTTGAACTTAACTTGAAAAAAAATAGATCACATGATTATTATTCTCAGTGAACTTGTCATATTTTCAACCTGTGAAAAGTTGAACTTATCTCTGCGCGTAAGACAATGTCCTTTGGACCGATATCTATCTTTGGGAGAGACTAGTGGATATTGATATTGATCGTCTACTAGTTGAGTCAACCGTCGTATGCGTACGAGATGTTTAGAGACCGACTTAAAGGATTGGGCCATAATTTGGGACCCAAGTTCATCTATTAGCTAGTTTAATTTTTATTAAGCGATATAGGATTTTTTTTATCTGGTTATTATTTTTGTATATTGTTATTATTTTCTCTTAGTTTTTAGAGAATAAACAAATTATAACTTATTTACTTATAAAAAAATGATAACTCTTATGATCAATGAACATAATTGTTTTGGCCTTAATGATCATTACTTTGAATTAAGAGAGGTTATTGTATTTTATTGTCTTAGATTTAAGACTCTTAGTTTTTTTTACCGAAACAATAATCATAGTATCAAATGCAAAACTTGAAATTTTGTTGTTGCATCTAACATCATATATGGAATTCCACATTGTGGGAACATGAAGACACAATAGCTTTTTGCAATCAATTTTTTAAAACTCTATATACTTTGTGACGAAGACCTTACAAATTTGACAACATTTCTAATACTTATTGAATTATGCAACTCTTTTAAGTCATCACTCATAAAAATATTGTCTATCCATTATTAATTCACTCATATTCTTTATTTTTTTAATATGTAACAACCATATCATTAGATGATTTATTATCAACTTGACACATTCCTAACTCTTCATTCTCTTAAAATTTCCTATTATCTTTATGATTATATATGATTGAAAAACTAATCATCCTTTTTTTATACCTCCAATCATTGTCTATGAAATGTGCAATGAGTGTCAGGTGGTTTAAGTTATGAATTGACGTCTAACAATGGATAGTGAGTGCTACTTTTAATATAATTTTACTAAAAGAAGACCTTTATTTTAACCTAAAATGTTCCTTCATATACAACAAAAAACAATTTTCTTTAATGGAACAAAAAAACTATTGAATTGACTGTACAAATTCTTAATATTCTCACCCTCCATTGGTTGTTCATCACAATAATAAAAATAAAATTTCCTCTCAACAAGCTTAAATATTATAAAATCAATACAATATATCCCATCTTATTTTCTCATACGTCAAACAATAATATAAATGTTTAATGTTTCAGTAGGTCCATTTTTTCGTCCAGAATCTCAAATAAGTTTCCTACTTATTTGGTGTCTCAATTGGGTCCTATTTTTGAAAATTTGAAACAAATAGAGGTTTGCCGTTAAATTGGACAAACGTTGTTTAAGAGGGCCTTACATGGCATGCTGACAATATTGTTTAAATTGATGTGGCATTAAAAACCTGATTCTGAAGTGTATTTTGTAATTTGTGAATTAAAGAATTAAGGGCAAATTGGGGAAAAGAAATTAAATTAAGGGCAAATTGGGGAAAAGAAATTAAATTAAGGGCAAAGTGGGTAAAAAAAAATAAAATTAAGTGCAGCCCCTTTCTCTGCAATTGACAAATCGAAAAATGATTGAGGAAAGAAGATTGGGGCTTGTATTAGGGTTCATGGGAGAAAAAAAAAGATCTTTTTTGTTCGATTGGAAGCGAGGGTTCCTGGGTGAAAAACATCGGCTTGAAACAAGGGTGCATGACCGACGTTTGGAAGAAGTTGAAGCACGAGGTGAGGTGTGGGACCTTGTATCGTTGGAAGCACGAGGCTGAAGCACGTGGTGAGTGGAGGTTAATATGAAAAAGGTTAGCGTTTGTGCTTTATTGTCTTAGTTTTTATAGTTGGAAAACTACAATATTGGGTAGTGGTCCCCCATAGTTTCAATGGTTTGGTCTGTGTTGTTGATTGCGATATGATGGTCCCCCATGTATGTTTAAATTTATTTGAGTATGTGTGAGTGGGTTTTG